GTCTTCTACAAAAATGCCTCAAGTGAATTTTTGCTTCACTGAGAAACTTCGCAGGAATTTCGCACTTTATGACAGGCACTCGGAAAAAAAGGGCCTTTTTCGTTACAGTGTAACGGCCTGGTAAATTTCACCTAGCTCCTCCAAAATTAAATCAAATTTTTCGAATTTTATATGGGAAATAGAGGAGCTCAAGCTGCGTCGAATGGCGCAAGAACGAATTCTCTAGCTCATTTCGTTTTTGAGAAAAGTGGATTTTAATGCGTCAAAAACGTTACAGTGTAACGCGTGAACAAGCCGTTAGTCAGTTCAACTGACTATGCGTCAACTGACTCAGTTGACGCATCGTGATAAATCTCGCTTGTCGACTATTTGCATTTCGTGATTTTCTGTTCTACAATTATAGAGTTGGGTTATCCAACAAAGTAAGATTTTTATCAGCTTTCCATGGCGGATTTCATAACCTAGCCTTGGTTCAAGGGTACAGCTACACTCTAAAAAAGAAATGCGACTTAGGATCAAATTAAGTCACATTAATGCGATTTAATTTGATCCTAAGTCGCATTATTTGTTAGAGTGTATCTAGATTAGTCATGTGGAAGATCGATCCATCCTTTCCATAGCTAATCTAAATTTTCTCAATAGACGATTCTTGTTTAGTAACTTCAAATGTGGTCACTTAGTTCACAAATAAACGTCATAGATATGATAAAAGACATGCATAAATCAAATGCATCTGGTGAACTTCATAGTATTAATTGAGGTGTAACATCGAACCTTCCTAACTGAACATATTTACAGTTTCAGAAAAGTGCATTTCTCCACTCATAATTTCATGATATTTCAAAACTTTGCTTACGTAGAAAATGGGTGCTGGTCAATCAAAAGGAGATGCTATACTAAATGAAAGTACCTATGATGTTATAACAAAGTATACCAAATTCAAACGTAATGATATTCTTGCTTGGCATGAACGCTTTCTTCAACAATGTCCGGACGATACACAAACAATGAATAAAGAACAATTTTGCAAATTTTATAGAGAACTTCGTCCACAAGAAAATGTTAATCGTCTTAGTGAATGTGTATTTCGTGCGTTCGATTTAAATGGTGATCATGGTGTCAGTTTTACAGAAGTAAGTTTATTTATACGACTTGATTCTCCTCAAATTTGCTCTCTATTTTCTTCATTAGTTTTTAATGGCATTTTTTGCAACAACAGAAGCTCCATTAGAGCAAAAACTTCGTTATGCATTTAATGTATATGATATCGACCATAACAGTTCAATTGATCGCAATGAAATTTTATTAGTTTTACGATCAATGTTTGAATTATTAGGTATGGATGCTAAACCGGACAAATATTCGTATGAAATGTGTGCTGATAATATTATGAAAAATCTTGATGTAAATTCTGATGAGAGAATATCCAAAGAAGAATTTATTGAAGGATTAAAAAATGATCCATTCTTACGAAGTTTGATGAATCCATTTCAACATATTTAACTGTGTCCAACATATTACAAACGACAAAATACTTATTTTAGTACTGATTTCTTCATTACTGATAAAGGAAGATAATGCACAATAATGTCAAATGTATAGTATACCATAATGATCAGGTTTGATGCCCAAACTAATTGTGTTGAATTTTTATAGTATAATCTGTATGAATAATTTATATAACTAAAAGCACATCATTATTTTTACGAAAAATTTTCTTTGAAATTATCTGAAACAATGTTTTATTTATCTGATATTTTCATATAGTCTAAGCATATCTCTTTTCGTGTATAAACAATTCAATAGAGACTGACCGATCGCATGTCTAATATTCTATAAAAGTTCAAATATTCAACATATTTTTCTTGGCAGGATTTTTTAGACGGTATAAAACAACTAGTAATTCAATTTTAACTATTATTATAGTTATAATTAAAATGCAGAAGTATAGATAGATAAACTGACAAATAAAAAGCACATATTTAATTGAAAAAATACAAAGAATTTAAGCAGAAATAAAGAAGAAAACTGTCATGGTTGTCGAAATAGTATACATTGTACGTTGAGAATGAACAAAAAACTTGCAAAATAGCCAAAAAAATACAGCCTGTTTTCTTCCGTTGCAATTTGCGTCTTACCTGTTGTTACTATACCTTATTTTTTCAAATAATGAAACAACCTGTACATATCGGAGAGAAAGGGTTGTGTGGAGGAGAAAATTCTCTATCTTCTGAGCCTAGAGCAGAGCCTTCAAATAACATTTAACTGCCTTAAAAATAGAAACAAAAGTGCCTAATTATTTCTGCGCCATCTATTACATACACCGGTTTTGCTCAACATAAACAGCAATCTCAACTGTTGACTTTAGTATTTTGTCATATCTCAGTTAAAATCGATCCAATGCTCTTTATTTTGGTATCTCTTTAGACGCTCGTTTAAATGAGGATGATTTTGTTCAAGCTAATGGTGCATAATCAACATAAAACACCGATGAGAGAACGACCCCAAGTTGCAAATCGTTAATCCAATGAAACTAGGTGGATTACCCCTATCTGAACTCGGAAACACTCCTTCCTAATGAACTTCCGGAATAACTACTCACTATAATGAACAGGACGGTATTATGAAAACAAATATAATTCTAAATTTTCCCATGTCGTTTTGTCTTTTTTTGGTAGATTTGCTAGTAGATTCCATAGCAAAACTTTAGGCGAATGAACTCGATAATATCGAGTAGAAAAACTAAACTATCCAGAACACGCTTTTATCTGTCCATTTCTGTATTAAGTGAATGTAAAACACTAACAATACTAGAACAGAATGTGTTTTAAAAGAGCGAACAAGAACTTATATGATACTGACTATTTCAGAAGTTCAAAATATCTTATAAAAAAGTAAGAATTCTATGCAGTCATAACTATGATTAGAATCATCATAATCATTTTCTGAGAACAAATCCAGTGTGGTCACAATACAATCGTAATAAGTGAGCTTAATTTTAAAATAACTAAACAGGATAAAAGGTTTCTTTACTAACGGTCCTCATTACTTTATTGTATATTTTTTACACGAAAAAACAAAAAAATATATAATTTTAACCGACCAGCGGCGTATATCTATATACAGATTACTAATTATTCACATCTAAAATCATAGTTGCCATAGAATAACATGAGACGTTGCATCATCTTTGCCTAATGATTCATCATAATTTTGATAATCTTCAAAACCATCACCACCACTTAACACTAACGTTTTTGTTAGTGAAGATGTCTGCGTGGAAGAATTTTCTGGTGTTGCGATATCAACTGATGTTAGAAAACGAACGGGCCCTGCATGGCCGTAAGTTAAACCTAAATATATATTAAAAAACTGATGAATTTATTTTCAGATTGATTTACAACACTTTGTACCTTTTACATTAAGCGTTCCACCAATTTTCGTCATGGTTGAATCAATTTGTGGCACAGCAATGTTCAATATAATTCCTG